GTAATGGCCTGGTCAGTGTTTTGAAATTCATTGTGGGAGGAGATAACATAAAATTTTACAAATCTTTATCTAAATTATACATTGTAGAATTTTGTTGAAAAGCCTAATTCCCCTTTAGTCCTCCCTCCCCCCTCCCACCTCCATGCAAGCTAAATAATTGCCTTGTGGGGCTGAGAGACAGTGGACCTATTGATTCCTGGTTGACTCCTGGCGACTGCCTGGACAAGTCCCTGCAGTTTTCTTGGCAAGATTTCAGAAGTGATTTGCCATTGTCTCCTTTCCTAGAGCTGAAAGAGAGTGACTAGCCTAAGGTCACCCAGCTGGCTTTGTGTCTAAGGTGGGACTAGAACTCATGGTCTCCCAGTTCTAGCCTGATGCCTTAAACACTACTCCAAACTGTCTCTCAGGGACAATATTAAATGCATTCATTTAAATGGGTGTGTAAGTCATGAAAGTTTAATTGATAATAAATTGGTTTGTTTGTTTATGTATAGATTGTCATAATCAAATTGACTCCTGACAATTATAGTCTAATCAGCATATATACAATAAAACTACAGTTAAAACAATCAGTAAAAAACAACCAACAAAAATAATTATCAAAATGCAGCTGCATCAATTTCAACGTAATGTTAACACAGTTAGATCTTAACTAATTATTCCTGTTTCAGTACATGGCACTTACTGAATTTTATCTGAGGGATAGGAAGAAAGTGTTTACAGGTAGTCCTTGGGTTACAACCTCTCGTTCAGTGACCGTTCAAAATTATGACGGTGCTGAACAAGAGGATCTTTTAACCAGTCTATGAAGTTGCTGCGGCCGTAGCATCCCTGTGGTCATGCAATCGCCATTTGTGACCTTCTCTGCCAGCTTCTCACAAACAGAGTTAATGGGGAACCCAGCTCCTGTAAGTCGCTCCTGCTGCTTTTTCTCCCAAGGAACCTCACTGCAGAGTACGAGATCCCAGGCTGCTTGATCTCATTGTGGATGGTAGAATTCCCTAAGCTTATGGTGCATGGGTATTTCAACTTGCCTTCCTTGGGGAAAGGAATAGCTTGATAATTTACGACTACTATGACAACCATGGACTCATATCAGATCATCCAGGCCTCATATAGAAGGACTCAAGCTAGATCTTTTTTTTTTTTTTTGCCTTGAGGATGATCTGAGGGAGGGGAGCATTACCATCTGCCCCTTCTCAAGATCAAATCACCCTCATTGCCTTGGCCTAACCTTAGTCCCAGCAAGATGGAATGGCTTTGGTTTAGAAGCCATCTGATGCCAGGGAGGTTTCATCTTTAGTTCTGGATGGGTTACTTCCAGATGCAATTCATGATGATGATTGTCATCTTTAAAACTCTAAATAGCTTAGGACCTGGATATCTCCAGGTCTGCCTCCTCTCAATTGTATTTGTCCAACCAATAATATCTGGTAGAGCAGGCTCTCTCTGTATTCTCAAGGATCTCGGGGAATATCATCTACAGGGATCACCGAGGCAAGCCTGTTCAATATCTGCCTCTAGTATTCCCTTGAAAATCGGAATGGCTTCTACCTTATTGGTTTTTAAGAAGATAATTAAAATCTGGCTGTCCTACCAGGCTTCAGGAGTTGGGAGCTTTTAATGTACTCTCTGGCGCTGGCATATTTCCAATAGAAGAGAATATATGTAGCTCAGGGTTGAACTGTGGAGTCCTTGGTGCTCTCTGAGCTTGGTTGTTTGCTTGCAGACATTTCATTACCCACCTAAGTAACATCATCATGGTGTGTAAATATGGTGTGTGAGAATCCTAGACAAAGCTAAATCCAAAAACACTAGGGGAAGCTTGGCATTCAGACAAATAAGCCATCAATAGACACAGAGAAATAAACCATATTTACACACCATTCAAAAGAGACAATGAAAAAACTAAGAAGACCAGAACACACCAGCCGACAGCCAGATAAGTAGGGATTAACACCAGGTAAATAATCAAGCAGAAAACAATACCTTAATCAAGGAACTGTCAAGAAGAAAACCGCATCTCCATCAAAACTGGCAGGGCAAGCTACTGTATATAACAGGGAGCAAACCCCACACTCACTTGTATTGATATTACCTAATTGGGTAATGAAACATCTGCAAGCAAACAACCAAGTTCAGAGAGCACCAAGGACTCCACTGGCATATTTACTATAATTGATGTTCCCGGTGTTTATGTATGTAGATGTGCTTTGGTTTTATCACTGTAATTTTTAAATTTTTTGTAACCTGAATTATGGATTTATGAATATCAGCAATTGGAGCAGTACACAAACTCACTAAAATAAAATAATAAACTACAAAGCTTGTATACCCAGAGCTCAATTTTCATAGACACGTACCTTAAATTATGAAGAGGATACTTACCCATGGAAGGATCCTAGTATGGTGAGAGTGAAGTGACAAATTCCTCTGATCCCCAAGCTGTTGCATGGATTAGATTTCTATTGTGGAAATTCTATTAAATCAGAGGAGAAGCTAAGCCAACAATTCGCAGAATTAAAATTGGGGATTGGAGGAAAAAAATACAAAATGTTTTTTTTTTAAATTATGAATCCCATAATGGATAATGCTCAAGTTCACTGTTTTCTGGCTTAAATACAAATGTGAACTGAATTATTATTTCACATTTAAGAAAAATAAGCTCTTTGGTTTTTGAGTGATTGGATGGGTTTTTTAAAGTAGCTGTCTCAAACCACAGGATGTATTTGTTACGTTTAGTACTTTGTGACTGGTGTCTTCCAATGTTTTGCTCTGAAATTTATGAATTAAATAATATGTCATATCTTAAGGCTTGTTTTTATCTGAGCGGTGCTCAGTGTTGTGTATCATGTTCATTTGCTTTAACCTGAAAACTATTCCATCTATACGTAGAGATAAACTCAACTTCTGTTTGACCCACCCCACACAGGTTTTAGGGTTCTGCTTTTTTTTTTTTTAAATGCATGTTATTGTTTGGAAAGTGAAACAGATTCAAAAATCCAATAGCAGTCATTAAGGTCATTGAAGAAAAGATAAGAGTTGTTGGATGAGAAGCCCATTTGTTTTCTTTTTTTCCTGTTAAATAATTCCTTTCTTGATCAGCAGTGCCGATCACTTGTGTATACCTGTTTCAAATATTCTCTGTGAACATGAGAAGTTACTGTCACATAAAGATAAGTTAGGGCGTAATTTGTGTTTTCAAAATACATACAGTTTAGTATGAGAGGGTAATAAAGTAAACTATTTCCAGGAGACAAAGATGAAGTGTTAAAATAGATGACTTGAGATTCCTTTTTAATGAAGGATAACTTACATATCTCTTTGAGTAATGTATATTGTTTGCTGAACTTCTTTAAATACATGAGCTGTTTTACATCAATATCTTGTAGTAATTGGGAATCATTGTAGTCTTGCATAATGAGATGATACGTTATTTAAATGGATGGTATTTTTGAAAGACATGAATTTTGAACCTTATACCAGCTCAGGAATATAAGGCCAATTCTGAAAGGAAACGTTCCACCTCAGGCTGCTTTCTGAATTATTTCTTATATGCATAGGAAATAAATATGTTGATTTCCCTTTGGTTATTTTTCCTGGGGTTGGTTTTGAGGGAAGGGTATTTAGGCTCAAATTCTGCAGATTTCAGAGGCCTAGTTAATGCATTCATTGATAATGAAAAAGTTTCTCTGGGATAATTATGTGTTGTTGTGTTTCAATTTATTTCCCACCTTTCTGCACCAAGGTTACTTGAGGTAGCTAACAACATGAAGAGTTAAAATCTGATATAGACAATTAAAATCATTATTAATTATTTCAAACTAAAATACTTGGGTATGTCTTTCCTAAGAACTGAGTTAATGGGAATTGAGTAGAACTCTGAAGGGACTGTATACCATATACAAGACAGTAAGTTTTTCCCCCCTGCCTTGATACATATAAGCCAAGTTCCTATGAATATGCTCATTCAGGGAGTTTAATGGTTTGGAAATCCTGATGATGATGTAAGTTTTTTTTTTTTTTAAACTTGCCATCCAATTGAAAATAATGGTGTCTTTTTGTGACTAGCTTACCTTTCTAATACTGCATAATATAGTCTTTAGATGACAGCTGTTCCAAATATGATAGGCAAGGTAAGAATCTTAAAAATGTGCAATAATTATTTATTTTATTTGATATTTATTAGATTTATATTCTGCCTTTCCTCCAGGAAGCTCAACAATCTTGGGAGGTAAATTGGACCAAGAGGTCCTAAGTCACTCAGTGAGCTTATTGCTGAGAGTATACTTGAACCTGAGTTTTTCAGTCCTAGTCTGACACCTTAACCATTACACTGTACTGTCCAGCCATCCTACTCTTCTTACTTTGTTATATTTGGCTATGTTATATCTGATGTATGTTCTTGCTTGGAGCTTGTTCAGTCTCTTTGCATTTAACCTTTGACTGTCTATTTAAAGAGAGGTCAGGATTTTAACTTTAAAATATGGAGCAGTGCTCCTAAGAGAATGCAAATAATTCAAACTTTGGGGTTTAATTTGGTTTATTTAAGCTGCTGTCAACTGCAGCAAAGTGATATGTTACAATTTATAAACACCTCAGAGATAATGTGCTTATTTTCACATACTAGCTCCAGCCTCCCTGGCAAATTTATTTTCTGTGTGCCATCATGTATTATGACCTTATGTTGATGATGCAGATGTTGCAGAATTGTCTTGTTTTCTTAGGAATTTCATAGTAATATTGAGACCTGCTCCAAATTCTTTTTCTTCTGGTGAAGAATCTCTTCTAGATTTTTCACTGGGAAAAAAATGGAAAATATGCTAAACATAAACAATATGGATTTTTCAGGAAAGTTCGTGAAAAACAATGACAGTATCTCCTACACACAAATCTTCCTGTGGTTTTCATGGCCTCGGATGACTTCACATTAAAAAAATGCTTATCTGTAGTATCTTCCTTTCTTTCCCTCTTTCCTTTACTTCTCTTTCCTTTCCCAGGATCTTTAATTGAGGACTATGCCATCCTGATGCCTACCATAATTCCTTGAACTAAAATGGACTCCTTTAAACAAGCATAAGATTTGATTATGCTGACCAAGGATAGTGGAAGTTGTAGAACAACATGAGATCAGTGAGTACAGAAAAAAAGGCAAACCTTTGAAATATTGAGGAAAGAATCAGTAAGTTTCAGACCACCTAGATATATAGACTGATTGTCTTGAGGTTATGTATTGGATTTGACATTCCTTCCCAAGAACAGTTCTGTAGCCCTGCTGGAGTTAAATAGCTGTGCCATCTTATTTAATGAGGTATGTTGTTATTGTAAGAATCATGGGGTTCAACTTTTTGTAATCAAAAATAGTCTTTCTGTAGAAACAAGCATGTGTGTGTGTGTGTGTGTGTGTGTTGTGTCTATGTGTGGGTGTGAGTATGTATGTATGTGTATAATAATTTAGTCGTTCACTAGCTGTACCTTTTATGGATCAGAATAAGGTGCCATAGTTATAGTGGTGCTTAAAAGTGTGAACCCTTCTGAATTTTCAATATTTCTGTATAAATATGACCTAAAGCCTGATCTGTTCTCCACACAAGTCCTAGAACTAGATAAAAAGAACCCAGTTAAACAAATGAGTCAAAAACATTACACATTTTTGTTGAGGAAATGATCCAAATGATACATACATAATTGTATGGGCAAAAGTATGTGAGCTTTTGCTTTCAGTAACAGGTGTGCCCCCCCTTGGGCAGCAGTAAGTACAACTAAACATTTCTGATAACTGTTGATCGGTCCTGCACATCAGCTTGGAAGAAATTTAGGCCACTCCTCCTTTCAGAACAGCTTCAACTCAGGGATGTTGGTGGACTTCCTTGCATGAACTGCCCACTTCAGGTCCTCCCACAACGTTTCTATAGGATGAAGGTCAGGACTTTGACCTGGCCATTCTAAAACATTTACTTTCTTCTGCTTTAACTATTCTTTGGTTTTATGGCTTGTGCGTTTTGGGTTGTTGTCTTGCTGCATGACCCACTTTCTCTTGAGCTTCAGTTCACAGACAGATAACCCTGACATTTTCCTGTAGAATTTGCTGGTACAATGCAGAGTTCATAGTTCCATCAATGATGGCAAGCCATTCTGGTCCAAAGGCAGCAAAACAGGTCCAAATCATGATACTGCCACTGCCATGTTTCACAGATGGGATAAGATTTTTATGCTGGAATGTAGTGTTTGCCTTTCCCTTTTCAGTCAAATCAAAACATTCTAATTTCCCCCTTCAAACAAACTGATAATCCTACGGGTTCATATTCTTTTGCCACACATGAATGGGTAGCTTTGAATCATTTTCTTCAATAAATACAATGTTTTTGACTCATTTGTTTAACTGGTTTCTCTTTACCTAATTTTAGGACTTGTGTGGAGAACAGATCACATTTTAGGTCATACTTATGCAGAAATACTGAAAATTCAAAAGAGTTCACAAACTTTTAAGCACCACTGTATCAACAATGTAGTAATTTCATATCTAGATTATTGTCATTCACTTCATGTGGTGGTCTTGAAAACAACAACTTCAGGCATTGCAGAAAGCTACCATCCAGCTATTGTTATTCACTTCTCAGCCTACTTCAAGATTTATAAGGCCCTAGATTTATAAGGCATTTATTTTATTTGTTTATGCTGCTACTTCTATGGTGCTTCAGTCTAAGTGGCTTATAAGATTAACATAATACCATCATGCTATGTAATAAATGGGTAAAAATGGATAAATTGAAAATATAAAAATTCCATAATAAATCAGTAAAAATTTGAAGCCTAATATTTGTTGGAATGCTTCTCCTATGTACCAGTTGAGATGGAGGAGTGTTTACTGTTATGCTGGCAGTAGGTGGTACCCAAAAGACAATAGAGAATCTTCTCAGTGATGGGTGCCTTCATGGCACTCGTTGCTTTTGGGGATTCATCAAGCTGCTTCTGTAGTTGAGTTTTGCAGACTGCTTAAGACTCACTTCTTTCTCCAGGCCTTTCCTTCCTCATTACGTGTTTGTTCTTGATTGTTGTAGTGCGTTCAAATTTAAAAGAATAATTTGTTCTTTTTTCTTGCTCATATTTTGTTTTTATTGCTATAAACTGCTTTGTGATCATTAGAAGAAAAAGTGATATGTAAATTTATTAATAGCAATAATTCATGAGCTCTTGTTAAGTTTTCAGTCCTTGGCTAATTTTACTGTATCAAATGATGAGAAGACCCAACCAGGCTATGTGTTTTAGCACATATTTTGTTCATGATAATTCATAAAGTACCAGAATTATGATTTATTGTCTCCTTAAGAAGTCTGTCTTGTGGTCAGTTTCACTACCACAAAACATGAAGATTCATATTCATTGCATTTATTTTTATTTCACACAATTTAGCATAAATATTCTTAGAACTACTTATCTTATATAAGAAAACTATATAAGAAGTTAATAAAATTAAAAAGTACCAAACAGCCTACAAAACCTGGAAGCAGTAAAATGACCATAACATAATACTGCAGCTGCCAATTGAGTTTCTGTTGAAAGAATAAAGAAGCAACAGATAGCGAGGATTTGCCATCTCCTTTTACTGATATTCTGGCAGCTGGACTGGCATGCCCTGTTAGGAAAGCAGCAGGACCATCTGTTTGGAGACGATGGTTTTATCTGCTTCTTTAATAACACGTACCAGTTATAGCAGCCTTTAGAGGAACAATGAAACATTAAGAGTGCTTCTGCACCATACTAAGTCACTCTGGGTGATTAAATAGAAAAAGCACTCTGCTATCTTTTTCCTAATTAACCCTGCTTTCAAAATACAGTTCATACTAACTGAAAATGGTAGCCAAATGGAGCTTGGATAACATGTTGTTCTTAAAAAAGCCTCAGACTATGATTGATAGCTGTATGGAGTGGGGAAAAAACTGGTGGTACACAGGTTTAGTTATTCATTTAGAATGGCTTAGCATCTAATCTGAAGTAAGTTAAGCTTGTTTTCCTTTTTTTTTCTCATTGTTTTTGTTTTATATGATATCATGTTAGACTGTAAATTTGAAAACAAGTTCTTTCTGGATATTGTTATTATGAAAGGTGCTTTGGGAAACTTCAAGATTGAAAGGTGGGTTATAATGAGTAGGATACCACTATAGAGAAGGGCCTTCAGGATGTGAGGGACTTGGAGAAGACTTGATTTGAAGTCTCTATTAGTACTGAAAACTACAGCTCCATTGATGGTTTTCTCTTACATTTTTATTTTGTAAAGCTGCAAGTCTCTAATATTATAGCAGTTAACTGAAGAATATTATTCCAGAATGGGGAAGGACTGAGATGTTCTGATGTCCACAGTAAATAAATCAAATGTGGAAGTTTGTGAAAACTTGGATCAGATTTAATTGTATATTAAAGACAAAGATATCTTCTGCTGACTTAAGTAGCTGAACAGTAGCCTTGTATGGGAGGAGGCAATCCTGCAAGTGAATTGTGACCCCAAAGCAAACTGGCAGTGGCTGATATAAATGGTAATCAAAGGAAGGAATAACTGAACATATAAATGGATAGGTCTTCTGAAAGAAAATCAGCATGGATTCTCCAATGATCCTCCTATCCCCCCTACTTTTCAGAGGGGCTTTTATTTTATTTTATTTTATTTTTTCTGGAGGGAGGGAAGAAAGTTGACAGGCATGTGAATGGAGCAGACCCTGCTGGCATTGAACACCTGGAGATTTAAAAAAAAATGGGCAAAGTTCTTCATTAGAAGCTCTTGAGTCATGGGATAATCCATTTATAGATTGCTAACTGGTGAAATAAAAAAATAAATAGTAGGTATAAATAGGAAATTTTCTCAGTGGAGGAAAGTAAGAAGCAGAGTCCCTAAAGGATCTGTACTGGGGTTGGTCTTTTTAATTTGTTCATAAATGTTCTTGACTTAGGGGAAAATACTGAGCTGGTGAAGTTTATGGATGATACCACGTCATTCAGGATCTCTTTATACTGGGTGACTGGTCAATCAAATGTGATTCTATTTAAATGAGAGTTTCTGAGGCAGAAAAATATTGAATTTTATATACATATGCAATATTTATATATTATATATATGGATATATTTATATAATATATATAAATGTGTCTGAGCTGTCTATAGTTGTGGAAAATATTTTTGGGGGGCTATGGTGCATAATTCAGTAAAGATGTCTACTCTGGGTGCTGGAGCTCATTGGGAAAGGGATTGAAAACAAAACTGCTAATGCAACTCTATTGTAAATCCATGTCTAGAATTCTATAAATAGGCCTGGTCACCACTTTTGAAAAATATAAGACTGGAAAAAGCGAAGAGGGAAAACAGAATGAACAGGGGCCATGAATACAGATAGTCCTCGCTTAATGACCATTTGTTCAGTGACCATTTAAAGTTACGGTGGCAGTGAATGAATAATACTTACACCTGGTCCCCAAAGTTATGGCTGTTGCAGCACCCTGGCGATCACATGTTTAACATTAAGGTGCTTGGCAGCCCACCTGCACTTATGACTGTAGTGGGCTTCGACCCCCCAACCTGCCTATTTCCCCCCCATCTTTGCCCTTTTGGCTGCCCTGCACAGCAGAACTCCTCGGCAGTGGCGGCAGCACTGGGGCTGAAGTAGAGGCCCGGGGCCTTCAGCAGCCTTGGCCTCTACTTTAGCCCAAGTGCTGCTGCCGAGGAGCACCACCTTAAGCCCCACACTGTGGCCAACCTCCCCAGCACCACAGTGGAAAACCCTAGCCACCCCACCGCCCTTCACTCTGCAGGACGTGCTGCACTCAGCTGACCTTCGCCGTCTTCTTCCTGCTGATGATGAGGATGCCTGGCCGGGCCCCATGTGAGGCAACTGCTGACTGCGTCAGGCCTTCTTCCCAAGACCACCTGTACTATTCTCCAAATATTGCATGATGTTCTCGCGATGCTTTGGAAAGCCTTCGGCAAGCTTCTGAGCCTTTCCGAAGCATTGCGAGAACAGCACACATGGCCTCGGGAAGAAGGCCTGGTATGGACAGTATAGGGCCAGGCTGGGCATGCCTTGTCCACAGTGGGAGGAAGATGGTGAAGGTCAGCTGGGTACAGCAGGACCTGCAGAGTGCAAAGTGATGGGGGCGGCTGGGGCTTTGCACCATGGTGCTGGGGTGGCTGGCTGAGAAGTGGGGCTTGAGGCAGAATTATTCAATGGCGGTGCCAGTGGTGCTGGGGCTGAAGTAGAGGCCCAGGGGTGGTTGAGCGGCTGAGACTGCTGAAGGCCCCAGGCCTCTACTTCAGCACCAGTGCCATCACCACCAAGGAGTGCTGCTATGCAGGGTGGCCAAAAGGGCTGAGATGGGAGGTGGGGAGATAGGCAGGTAGGGGGAGTTGAAGAGGAGGCAGTCCCTTACCTTACCAAAGCTTGAGCTGGGAGGGACCAAGCCAGGAATGGCTTGGATTGGGGTGGGTCCTCCCCTATATTTATCTAAATCAGCAAGCAATCTCCTTGATCTCTGCACTGGTTACCAAAGGCTGGACATATAAAGCAAATGAAAAACCTAGGTTCATACTAAGGTGGAATTATTCATGTGGCTATGAAGAAGATGCTTAATGTAACAGAAGGATGAAAATAAGCTTCACATCTTAAGATTAGACCTGTGTTTCTCAACCTTAGCAACTTTAAGATGAGGGGACTTCAACTCCCAGAACTCCCCGGCCAGCAGGGCTGATTGTAGAATTCTGGGAGTTGAAGTCCACTCATCTTAAAGTTGCTAAGGTTGAGAAACACTGGGTTAGACTATGAAAATATTGTCTCATTTGCTTATCTACCTAGCTTTCAAGTCATCCATTTTGCTTATCACAACAATTATTTGTCCTGATTTCTCTGTGGTTACTCCTACTGTCTGTGTAGTGACATTCTGTTTGTTCAGCAGTAGAACTTAAGTTGATAATCAAGTAATGATAACAGGCAAGCAGATAGTATTTATTCCACAATATTTTTTAGCTTACAGAGATAATAAAAACCTCAGAAATGTCCATTTACTGTTCATTTTGGTTCCCAAACCAGCTTACTAAAGCAATCTAAAACAGCTCAGGGATTTCCCCACTAATCACTTGAAGTTGACATTTCCTCTCTAAATATTTCCTGTTTATTTTTCATTGTAGCATCCTGGGGCACAATGAAAGAGTTTTAATGCACAGACTTCACAAAAAAGTTCAGCAGCAAGTAGTACAAGGGACACAAAAGAAAGATATTACTAGAGCACTTTGGAACACTCCTGGCATTTGAAGTAAGTAATGGGAAACCATTTTGATATAAGGGAAATTGCTGTATTTAATTTGTTTTGGGTGTCAAGAATTGCACTGGTATTTCTGTCCAGTGGATGGAGAGAGATTGCTAAAGGATTAAAGTAGACACAACAGTGACATATCCATGTATTTTTAACAATATTGCAGAAAGGGGACATGAACCAGAAGTTCATGTTACCATTTGTTTGTAACATCAAACTGATGCATCAGCCTTCATGCTAACTGCTCCTTTGCCCATAGCTTATACCCAGTCCTGGCACCTTTTTTCTTTCCCTAACCTCTCTGGCATGGGAAATGAGCTTGACTGGAAAACACTTGACTGCCTCCTTCAACCCACTTAGAGATGGGTTGAAGGAGGCAGATGGCAGGAGAAGGACCTTTTTTTTCTGTGCATGTATGTTTTTGCTATAAAATGCAATCCTATTCTTCATCTGTGAAATTGGCTTTAATTTTAAGTGCTGAAATAGGCTGCCATTGGAATCCAATAGTATGATACCCACATAGATTGCATCAGAAAAGAAGATAGTCTGTTTTTGTGTAATTACTTAAGAGATTGAGGCTCTTCAGATATGGTAGAACTACAACTGTCAGCATCCTTTACCTTTGAACGTTCTGGCTAAGACTGCTGAAGATGTAGTTCAGCCACATCTGAAGGGTAACTAGTTTTCCATTGCTGACAATTATTTAAAACAATTATATTTATTTATCATTTATTTATTAATTTATTTATATATCAAATTTGTCACTGCCCATCTCATTGAAAAATGACTCTGGGTGGTTTACAAAGGAGATAAAATCAATTAAAATACAATATAAAAACAATCTTAATAAATTCCAAGAATGATGGAATTGACGAATAACTCAGGAGTGACATTAGGGTGCCTGCCACCCCCAGGATTGATTAAAACCGTTATCGCTCCATGCAAGCTGGCAGAGCCAGGTCTTAAGTCCTTTCCAGAAAACCTGGAGGGTCGGGGCCCACCGCACCTCTGGGGGGAGAATATTCCAAAGGGCGGGGGCAACGGCAGAGAAGGCTTGTCCCCCTGGGCCCCACCAGCCAACATTCTTTTGCTGACGGGGTCTGCAACATGCCCCCCTCTCCCTGACCAGGTGGGATGGGTTGATATAATGGGAGTGAGACGGTCCCTCAGGTAACTTATATAAAAGATCTTACTGCAGATTGGGTTGAAACTGGGTCATAGGGGAAGCAGAGCCAGTTCCGGTTGTAAAAAAATCTGCACAAGATTTAATTAGATCCCTAGTACTATCCTCTTCCCTGAATTTCCCAAAGAACTTGGTGATTACATACCTTTTGAAAAAGCACAAACTTTACACTTTCATCAGGTTTCCTCAAAGAAATTAAGCGGTGGCTTTAGACGGTAAGAGCTCTGTCAAACAGTTTAGATTATAGTATAGTTTAAGATTGTAGAATTAACTATTCAAGCCCTAAATGGCTTAGGATTTTACTATAGGGAGGGTTTCCTCTCCTCTTGCAAACTTGTCTCAGTATTAAAGGTTTTCAGGACAGGCCCTACTGAATATCCCCTGATATGTGGGACGGGTTTCCCCTACTTTGTTCCCAGTCTCAGGCTAGAGAATGCACTCCCTCAACAACTGTGTTTGGCTTCTATTCTCTCAGCATTTAGGAAAATCAATAAAGATTTAAAATGTTGTTAGCCACCATTTGAGTTGAAAGGTAAAGTATAAATTAAAAAAAAATAAATTTAAAAAAAACAATTTTCTTTTTCAGCCCCTGAGTATAATGAGATAGGCTAGATTAGGGGTTATCAGGCTTGTTTCAGTGAATTCCCTCATTTGGGGGTTTATATAATCTGTTTTAGCATAGACTCATAATTTCAGTACTGATGAAGTTTTGACATATCAGGGCAGGATTAGGTGATCTGGTGCTTCAAGAATTTTGGATTACAGCTCCCAGCTAGTATGACCACTGTGGTCAGGGGTTTGGGGAGCTAGAAGATACCAGGTTGCCTGTCCCTGCCTTAACTGCTTTGAATATAAATTGAGTTTTATTTATTTGTTGGTTTGCAAAAGAACTGTTAAATTTAGTATGTCTCTGAATGCTCCTGTAACTACAACCTCAGCCAAGCCTAAGCCTATATAATTGAAAGATGCATGTTATTATCCTGTTTGCTACTGCCTTTGCTTCCTTTTATTTTCTCCATTGTTCTCGATTATGAATTCTTCAAGTAATACATTCTTCATGGCAGCTATTAGTCTCCTTATACACTATAATATCCCAGATATGATTTGGATTATTTGTGATAATTCAGAGTAAGTGGAAGCAAGTCTCAGATATGTAATCTATGCTTGAACTTGAAGAGTGTTCTAGTAGAATAGAATCCCCCCCTCCGCAAAAAAGCCCATAGCAGGAGACTATTACTATATTAGGAACAATTAATATTTTAAAATAGTGGGTAAGCTTTTGCATTCTCAAGAATTTCAGGATATTAAATGAAGTGGCTGCTAAACAAAATATCAGAGGAAGTGAAACTTAATTGTCTTTAAGTATATCAGGCATTTGTAATCAGAAGTCCCATGCTATGTGCAGAAGTGCTAATACATAAGAATTACTCTTCCTGGTCTGCTTCTTGGTAAGCTTCTTTTGTTGTTTCTAACCACAAAACTTTTGTCAGTTGTCTGTGTAAGATATCCAAAGAGTCAATATGGTTAACAATGTATATATTAGGAAAAGGTCAATGACTTCAAGGAAAGGTAATGGATTTAAGTCATATATTCTCAAGCATTTTATTACAATATTACTATTTTTTCGGAATTCAGAATTGTTTGCATTCATAGTTTGGGTAGTATTCATGATAGATATTTTAACTGACATTTAAGAAAGCAGAAATAAAGTTCCTATTTTGCACTATGGCTCTGAATGCTTGAATAGCATCTTTAGCAGCTTATGACTCAGACTACATTGTGCTATTTTTGTTGTGTAAAAAAACAAAGACAAGTAATATGAATTGTAGTGAAGAGCTTCACCTTTTTCATTCACTTTATTCTCCAACCTTTTCTACTGATCTCTGGAGTTCTCTCTTGGCCTGTGCTCAGGGAGAAAATGACTGTAACACAATTTAATCTCAATAAGAAGACAGTAAATTGAGAAACAGAAATATAGGTTTTTTCCCTTATTAGAAACTTGTTACTTTGCAAATGGATAGAAAAATATCACTGCAAGCAATTTTATCCTAATTAGCATATTTTTACTTTCATTTAGAGGAACAAGTAGTCATAGAAAGCAGGAGGTTTTTGATTTTAACTCAACATAGAATCTCTTTGATTCCGGGAATTCCCAGCAAAAATCTCGCCCATTGTAGCATCTCGCTTCTAAAAAATTATGTACCTTGCCAAAAATGCATCATGGCCATTTGTTATGTCATTGTCTCTGCACATGGAGACATGTGTGTGGGCAAAAGAAAGCACACAAAGGAACAGGCTGTGACAGTTGCGTTCCTCATTCATGTATGAATTAAAATCCCAAACTACTCCAATTAATGATCCCCAGATGTGTTACAAATTTATCTCCAGCTTGTGATCATAGTATGGTTGGCTGAATGGCATCGGATTCAATAAAGCAGTTCTTACTCTTGGACAATCCAAACTACAAAGTAAAATGTGTGGTATTGTTCTTCCCAATAATTTATGAGAAACAAACCCATTCCCACTTTTTAGTTTTTTAACCAGAGCATGAAGTCATAGACAATGATTGATGCATATTTCTGAGAAATAACTTCTTGATTTGTTTTTTAAACCATTTTTATAGTTGCAGTGATGATGAGTCTTCAGAAATATGAGGTTTTAATAATGTTGTAGTAGGAGTAAGGTGTGGAATTCCTCATCATTCTATCTTGGGTCTTATTTCATTAAAAAAAGAGTTTTAGACTTGGTGAATATTAAACATTGATTTTAAAAAGTAGTATAAATCTACATGAGTTGTAACTAAAAAATGTACTGTGCCCTTCCTGCAAAACAAGCACTTTACTCTACTCTACTCTACTCTACTCTACTCTACTCTACTCTACTCTACTCTACTCCCACCTTTCATATAGGAACTCAAGGTGGTATGCATTATTATCCTGCTTGCTGGTGGAAGGGAAGCTAAAAGTGTATGGCAATCTTCCATTGAGGTGTCCTGGTATAGTGATGATAGTTTTAGGGGGGATGGAGAGGGTGTCAGTAAAGTTGATAGCTACTAGCTTGGGTTTTTGCATATGTAAAAAGAGAATCAGACAAAGAGATTGATAACTAGCCTACCTGTTGATGATGGCAGTTTTGCCCATTGAGAAATAACAGAAGTGTACTTCTGGTATACATATTTCTTAGAAGCCAGAACTACCCAGCTGAATAAATTAGGTGATTTACCAGATGTAAATTCTTCCCTGGGGGGGGGGGGGACCTATCAAACCCACGCCTGAAAGGTAAATTTAACAAAAGACAAAAAGCCACCAGTTTGCTTTTCTTGCATGCAGCGATTACCTTAAAGGTTTACTATGAAGCAGCTGACTGTGCAAGCATGCTGCTTTACAATTACTGAATTACTGCTGTTTGTTAGTGCAGAATCTAGAAGCTTTATTTAGGATCAAGCACGCTAGCTATATTTTTGATACTGACTTTTGTATTTTGCAATTGTAACATCATAATACTTAAGGTTTTTCTAACTATAGAATGATACATCTTTTTAAGCTGTACCTAGTATCTAAAATGAAAACCGGAGTGAATTCATTTTTTCAATTCATATAGCTATATTTGCGTATAATTATTAGAAGTGGTTGATGGCTTTCTTTCTTCAACCTCATACATGGGATTCCTCTAATTTTCTTCTCCTTTTGTGCCTCCCTCCTCACCCTTGCCTACATACAGGGGTTATGTTTATGCATAACTGTGTCCAGGTCACAGACTGGATTGTGTTGGATGTGTGCGCCATATTTGATTTAATTTAATATATGTTAATTATAC